TCTTTTGTGTCAAATAACAGCTACCAAATTATATTTCAAGGCTGACTTTTCCTTTAAACGATGAGTTTTTTTTATCCCCAAGTCCAACAAAGAATTTGATTATGTAACACACTTTAAAAAACGATTTCTCTACTGTGTGTTTAAATTAAAATGGAATGGTACTTGAAAGCTGCTCCCTTTGTCTGAGTTTTGTTCTGCCATAATTACCGTAACACATCATCAAGAAACTGGAACACTTTATGCATATGATTATTTGGACCGTGACCTGCAGGTCATCGCTGACACAGATGGATGATTATGTCTAATTGTCTTTTATACAATAACAACTAAAGATGGTAGAGGGAGTAAATAACAAGGTCGTAGAGGAAATGTGTGTGCTTCTGCCTACATCTGTACATTATGAGTCACAATTTGAGAGAAGAGGTGAGCTTAATTAGGCACACCAGCAGGCTGCCATCATCGGCATTTGTTTCTTCAAAACCCCTCTGTTCTGCACTCCAAAACTTTTTATATCTTTCCTCTTCAGTCTCTTGGTCTCTCTCTCTGCATCAGCCACTGCCTTAACCCATACCACAGAGGCACAAGAAATGTCGCTGTAGCCATCTTCAGTCATTTTGCAACTGCTGACACAGCAGTGCTCTCACTGTGGTAACATAATGATCTTACTTCTTAAATTAAACTATATATTTATTGAGATGTTCCTTTTGTTCCCACAACAAAAGATACATCAGACATTAATTGATCATCAGACATAATTTGGATTCAGAAGATGAGCTGTAACTTAAGCAGGTTAAAAACCTTCTCGCAGACAGAATATTTTTTAATTAAGATTGACAGAATGGTCCAAGGATTGTGGAAGAGCAGCAGGTTTTTTAGACAACCTCCTGAGTTTTTGCAACATCGACAATTGATGAGGTCTGTGACATTAACATGATAATTAATAGGAGACAAAAACTGTGGCTAGTACTAACTTTTTTTCTAATGACTGAAATGATAAAAGTATATTTAGTAAGATCCCATAGGCCTCTTTTAGGCAGTTAGCTCCTAGTACCTTGAATCTGAACTAAATAAGCCTTATTTAGCTATGATGCTGCACACAGATGGAACCAAAGGTGATTTTAAATGCAACTTTCACTAGCCAGCTAGCCTTTGTCCTAAACAATCAGTACAGAGTGACATTTTTTTCGTCAAACGGAAGCCCCTGTAGAGGTGGGTCGGAACAGTTGCTATTATACTGTACAGCTAATTGTATACTGTAAGTTAACAAACATGTACACATGCATCAATCTCATCCATACTTGTTGAATTGTGGGTATTTTTATTTCTTTTATATCTTTTTTTATGCAGCTAGCTAGGTAGCTATAGCTATACGGATATGACGTACCTAGAAAGCTGTTTCGGCAACTATTTCACCAATTGCTGAACAAATCAGAGATGTAGGCAGCAATTCAGTGATCTGGAGTCAGGCCAAAGTTTTAAAAGTAAAACCCTCTTTACATAACTAACAACTTACTACTGGACTGTAATAGTATATCTTCAATAACTTGAATTGATTTATTTTCTTTTTTTATACGTTGCTGTAAAGCTCTCTAAATTATTTCTGTGTTAAAAAAGGTACAAACCAACAAACTTGGCCTTGTCTTGCCATAACAGACATTTTGGCAAAACTCACAACCTGACTGTCTTCACATCTTGTCATATGAAAACTGCATCAGATGGAGCAAAGAGTTGCAATGGTGTAGATGCTCAGTCTTTAAACATGAACCTGGATTGAAGTGTGCTTCATTCCCAACAGGTCATACGTCCTAATGAATCCTCTTGCCCCTTTGTGTTGTTGTAATCGTATCAGACCTCACTGCAACACACAAGTTCAGGGTTGAGTGTCGTGACTCTTTGCAGGTCTGAAGGATCAGAACAGCTCAGAATCACACCCTCCACCCCTCCCTACCTCCCTGCATGGCTTCCTGCTAGGTAATGCCATCTTATGGTTAGGGTTCCCCACTGCACTGGGGACCAAAGCACAGGGAGATTTAGTACCGCAGTTTTACTTAAAAGATATATGACTATGCTTTTTTTGCTCCGTTTATTGGAAACTAATCTTCTGCTGATAAGGAGTCAGCACACCAGAAGGTCACTGGTTCATATCCTATGATTAGCTGGGTGAACTGGGAGTAGAAAGTGAATAAATAATGCTCTCTTTTCCCTGAACAGTTAATGTCCAATTGTTCTAACCTTCAGTTGCTCTTGTAGACCAATAGCAGAACACTGCTCTGAAATCACCATTTCCTGTTTAAGGGTAAAACAAAGTCAAGGTACGCTGCATTCTTTGGCAACTTTTGAACAATTAGGGGGTGTAATGAAGTTAACAATATCACAGTGGAACGAAAAAAAGCAATAAATCAATAAATCTTTTTTCTTGCTATCAAATCACAAACCACAGATCTTATTTATACATATATTGCTAGAAATAAATGAAGCTATCCATGCATTTACCTCATCACCTTTTTTTTCTTTATGGGATAAAACAGAAGGTTAAATACCAAAGGAGAATACTACAATATACTTATAATATACAAATCATTTCATCATATTTAATCACTTCAGTACCCTTTTCCATTCAACAGTCATAACATGTGTACTAGTTGAACTGATATTTCCTAGTAGCTTCAGGGCTAAAACCCTAAATGTAATCAGGTGATGGTTCTGAACTGCTCAGCCTCAGTCGTCCACCTCAGCATGCTGTGCATTTTAATTTGGCTGCTCCGGCTCAGCGGTGAGGCGACTGTCTGAGCCTGTTTAGTCTCTGTGTCCATCATTCTTTGGTTCTCCTTGTCTTTTACTTAATCTTTCACTCCTTTCTGTTCACTCCTCCATCTCTGCCTCTCTTTGTCTGTCTGACCTTCTTGTGCTTGCACACACACCATTTATCACAATGCCAGGCACATCTGACTGCAGCATTCTCTCTCTGTCTCTCTTTCTCAGGCAGCAGAAAGACCGGGCAACTGCTGACCCTCTGATCAGATCATTGAGTGAATACTTTTGCCAGTCATTTAGACAATATATATATATATATA